AAAGGACATATCGGTAAAAATTGTCAAGAGTCCGAAAAACTAATGAGAATGTGACTGTAAAACCAAGTGAAAAAAATGACATAGTGTGTCATAGATGTGGTTTTGTAGGACATATAGAAAGAAATTGCATGGTGAAAGAAGCCAATTTCAAAAGTGGATTTCCGCAACGAAAATCGGTAGTGATAAATCCAGTGGTTCGAAATATATAAAATCCTAGTATTACAAATATGGATAAAACAGAAATATACAATACAGACCATGATAGAATGTGTTTCAGATGTGAAAAAATGGGACACATTGCAATACATTGTATTCAAAGTGTGAGTGGGTCACAGTGACTATATGATTTGAAAGAGAGTCATATAAAAATAGATAAATTATATTTAGACAATATAAAATTTTGTGATATATATAGTTTTATTAAAAATTTTGTGGATATATATAATAAAATAGATAATCATTATGGGAATGATGATTATACATTGAAATTTAACTCGAATAAAAAGAGTTGTAATGTAGGAAATTTTATTGTCATTTTGATGAAATAAAAAAATTTAAATTAACCAATAATCTGAATAAAAAGGATTATTGTAATCAAACAAGTGAGAAATATCCAGAAGAGATTTTTAATAAAAACATAAATGAGATTCAGAGACCTTTAAATTCTGAGATTTAGGTGTATGAATATTAATTGTATTGAAAAAGGATTAAAATAAATACCATTCAACCGATTAAATTGCCTAAAAATTTAATAAGGAGGGAGTGACTCCTGTTAAATTATTTTTGGGTAGAAGAACCAGATTACCCTTAGATTTTCTTAAGTCAAAAGAAATTGACAATATATTATCTTATGAAAAAACCAATATAAAATTTCCTGTGGGAAAAATTATTTGGGGAAGACTTTTTGACCATAAAAAAAATGGGAGAAAGGTTGTGTTATAGATAATATTGGGAATAAATTATGTAACCTACTATTTGATGATGATACTGTGGGAGTACGTCATAACGATTTTATTAGGGTATATAATAAAGAGGGGAATTAAATTAGTCTTGTAATTCCTAGAATTTTTTAGGACAGAATTCTTAGGACAGAACTCTTTGTGTACTTAAATAATTTTAGTGGTAAAATTTATACAAATAAAAAAAAAACAATGAGAAATATACTCTAGATAATTAAAAGTATATATATATTTTAAAAAAAATATATGAATGAAGAACTGAGAAGAAATATTTAAAGAAAGAGGGTACATATCATCTTAGAGATGAGTGAATACTTCTACTGATGAAAGTAAAATACTTAATTAGGGTTATCTGATATCTGTAACATTTTTTTAATATTAATATAAGGCTATGGGAGCCTGAAAAGAATCATGATAAACGTGCGAGTAAGTAAAAATATATTTTATTATTATTAACTCCTTTTTTCTCTTTTTACACATACTATATATATATTATCTAAAAATATAAATTAGAATATATATGATCAAACAAAAAAACAAAAAGTAAGGTTACGAAAAATAAAAAGTAATATAAGTAAGGTTACAAAAATTAGATTAAAAATATTAAAAACAAAAAGTATAAAGTTATCAATTTTGAATATGTAACAAAAACAAAAAGTAATAAGTTATCAATTTTGAATATGTAACATTCTCCTTCTTCTAAAAAGCCTTCCCATAATTTCATCTAAGAAGTCATGGAGAGTTTATTGTCCAAGTTGTTTATCGTTTTGGTCATCAAGTTGTTTCACAAGTTATCATATCGTTGGCTAGTCTTAATCGTTTACTGTGTTTGTACGTTGGTTTGTTTAAATCGTAAGCTTGATATCCTTATCGTAAGTTGTCCTTATAAATCGTGACTTTGTCATATAGCTTGCTTGGTTGTACTCAGTTGTTATTATTATCATTTTTCAAAATTGTTATTATCATCAGTAAGTTGTGAATAATAAGAAATAATAGTTCATCATATTGGATATAAGAATAAACGAAGAATGATAAATCAATAAGATTGTTATATAATATTTTCAGCCTTTTAATTTTTTGCGTTTTAGTGTAAACGTTTTAATATTTAATTTACTTTATGCAATTTACTATTTATTTTATATTTTAAGTTATATAGTCTTTTAAATAAACAGGTTTTTATTTTATTCGCACAGGTCTAGAAATAGGTGTTATTTCGTTATTATCAATAATTTTTATATTTTTGTCTACACTTCCCTCCTTAAAAGAATCCTTAGAGTCATAGTTAATAATTGTGTTAAAACAGTTTCTAATTCTTATTTGATCTAAATGTCTCCTCAAAATACCTTTCTCAGTCTTAATTTGGAACATCATATCACTTTCTTTATGTGTGATTATACCTTTACACCATTTATCATCACCTTGTACTATACCAAACAAAATCTCCTACGTTAAAAGTTCTATTTCGTGGTAAAGTAATGTTTATTTTATTCTCCTTCTCCTCCATCGGTTTTAATAAGTCCCATTTAATTCTAATATTTTGATTAAACATTCTCTGAGATGTGTAACTCCCGTAGTATCATTACGCGTATTTCTGTAATTAAATAAAAATTTGCTAAGTGCAATATCTGGGTCAATTTTAATATTCCTTTTCATATGTGTTTTGAACGTTCTAACCATGCGTTCTACCTGGCCACTGGATTGCTGGTGATAAGCAGATGTAAGCACATGTTTAATACCAAAATTGTTGCAAAATTTTTTAAAATTGTTACTCATAAAGTTAGTGCCGTTATCAGTAACTATGGTTTCAGGTATTCCATATAGCAAAATAGTTTTAAAGATTTCTTTTAAAGTAACGTCAGTCGTAATATTTTTAACAGGAATAATAATTGGAAATTTGCTGTAGGCATCGACTATTATCAACCAATTTTTTGTGAAAAACGGACCCGCATAATCTATGTGTATCCTTTCAAACGGTTTGGTTGCCGAAACCCATGGTTTTTGTATCTTTATAGGATTATCGTGATATATATTACAATCGTCACAACTTTTCACTTCCATAACTATATCATTATTTATACCAGGCCACCACATGTACTCTTTGGCTATCCTGCCCCCAAGTGGCCTTCATGTAATGACTTTAGTAAATTTTTTCTCATAGAAGACGGAATTATGATTTTATTGCTTTTGTAAAGACAATCCTTAATTATACTTATTTCCAATTCAATGTTTTTATAAATATTATTCACAATAGGCCTGTTGTTATTAATATCATTTATGACTTGTTTTAATTCTATATCTTTCAAAGTTTCATCACGAATTTGATCAAAGTTAATAGGTAAATCCTCATATTAATTTATTATGGTTACATTATCAATAGTTTCATCACTACATTCTTGTGGTAATCTCGAAAGGCAATCAGGAACAACAGTATATTTACCGGCTTTATACTTAATATTAAAATCATATCCTCCTAATGTAATATTCCACTTCTGGAGTCTTAAGGACATGGTGCTATTATCCTTAAGACCCTTGGTAAAGATGTGAACTAGAGGTTTATGGTCAGTAATAATTGTGAATTTGTGCCAATTAAGTATTCCTGGAACCTCCTTATAGCGAACATAATGGCGAGAGCCTCACGCTCAATATTGGTATAATTCATTTCGGATTTTAATAAAGTTCTTGACGCGAAAGCTATAGGTTTTTCTTTACCATCTTTTTCAGTATGAAATAGAGCTCCTAAACCACATTTCCATGCGTCAGTGGCTATCCCTATAGGTAATTCAGGGTTAAAATATGTCAAAGCAGGTGGAAGACTAATCAACTTCTTAAGATAATTAAAACTTTTAGAGTGTTCAAGGTTCCAAGCCCATTTTTCCTTGTTGACAATCTTATATAGAGGATCGGCAATTTCTGCAAAATTGTTCAAAAATTTTCTATAGTAGCCAGCCATTCCCAGAAATGTTGATAATTCAGCAGCTGATTTTGGTTCTGGCATATTAATTATTGCTTCAATTTTGTCGTGATTAGCATGAATCCCCTTAGCATCAATATTATGACCCAGGAACCTCACTTTGTTTTTAAAGAACACACTTTTATTGAAGTTAGGTATTAGCCCAAACGATGATATTCTATTAAACACTTTTTTTATGTTGTTAAGGTGGGCTTCATCGTTTTTTCCAGTTATAAGTAAATCATCAATATAAAATATGACATCATCCATATTACCAAAGATTTGATCCATAATCTGTTGAAAAATTGCAGATGAGGTCTTAAGCCCAAAAGGAAGTCTAGTAAATTTGTGCGTAGATATGGTTAAAATATTTCTGCAACTTTTATCAATTGGTATCTGTAAGAAAGCATTTTTAAAGTCAATCTTCGTAAATTTCTTTCCTTCTGAAAGTTTAGCTATTAGATCATTAATTCGTGGTAGAGGGTATCTGAAATCTTCTAGAGCTGGGTTTACAGTGTCCTTAAAATCAGCACAAAGCCTAATGCTCCCATTATCTTTGTAGACAACGGTAACAGGACTTGCCCATCGGACATCATTCACCGGCTCAATTATTTTATCATGTATCCATTTTTTAAGTTCATTGCTTTTTTGAATAAGGAATACGTCTAGGCGGTATAATTTTAGGTTGGGCATCTCTTCTTATAACATGACACTTGCTTTGTTGATTGGCCCATTAATCAATTTGGATTCACACTCTATAATCAATTTTTTTATTTCATCTTCGTAATTAGTGTCAACATTTGCTATAAATTTATTTAAAATATTTTTGAAAGCATTGATCCATGTACGTCCCAACAAGGCATTTTTACTTGATTCGACGACTACCGCTTGTAAATATTTTGAGATACCATCATAAGTCACTTTAACTTGAGTGGTGCCGATGATCTTGATTAAATTTCCGTCATAAGCGGTAAGTTGTAACTCGGATTTCTTAACATCTCTAATACCAAGTTTTTTAGCCAGACCATGAGGTATAATAGTATGTTTGGAGCCTGTATCAACTTGCATACATGTAACAATATCGTTCACTTTTAAAGTATCATAAATGCGTTATCTTTGTCATTGAGCATGTCACCAGATAAGTTGTTAACATTGAAATCATTATCATCTTTGTTCTTTGTAGAGTCAACTTTCTCTTCAATAATTTCTTCAATATTCATATTATAATCATTGTTGTATTGTATTTGCTTTCTATTATTGTTGTCGCTACCTTTATAATTATTTGAGTTATTGTTGTATTGTATTTGTTTTCTCTGATTATTGTCACTACCTCTATAATTATTTGAATTGTTGTAATAGGATTGGTAATTGTTACGATTTCCATCACCGTATTGGATCTGTTTTCTTTGATTATTATCATGCCATGTATTATTTCTACCATAATTAGATTGATTATTATTGTTATAGCGATAGTTATTGTAGTTATAGTTGTTATAATTATCGTGGTATCTCGAATTATTATTACCGTAATTCCTATCATTGTATCTAAAATTATTATTGTAATTCCCATTTCTATTTCTATTATCATAATTATTTCTAAAATTATTTCTAAAATTATTTCTAAAATTATTATCAGGTCTAAAATAATTATTGTTGTCGTTTCTATTTTTATTGTAAAAGTTTTTATCTTTATCAGACTTTTTATCGTTATACATATAATTTATATTATCAACATCTGACTTATCGCTGATGCTGTCTAACTTAATCCCTAACTCAACCATCTCAATTAAAGTTAAGTTAATATTTTTACAAAATTTATATTTTATCTTGTCATTTAAGGTAGATGTACGTAGTTTTTCTTTTAATCTACTGTCGTCCGAAAAATTACATTTTTTATGAAGCTTCGATACTCTTATGTACCACAGCATGAAACTCTCAGACGAGTTCTGCTGTAATAAATTAAATTTATTAATTAAAGTATTTTTATCTTGCACAGGTAAAAGGTAAGTTAACTTTTTAGTCACAATTTTAAGATCTAGTATATCAGTATCAGAACAAATTGATTTAATATTGTCAAAAACCTCGTCTGATAAATTATTAAGCAAATTATTATTTTAATAGAGTCCGAAAATGTGCTGGTCGAAAAATAACTTAATATTCTGTCTAAGTAAATCTCAGTAAGTGGTCCAACTAATTTAGGAATTTTGTGTATAAACTGTGGTTTTATTTCCATGTTTTACTAGTAAATCATATGTATTGGAAATTATAACATTTTATATTTTAACATTTTATATTTTAACAAACATACAATTTAATTCGATAAATTCTGACTCATTATACACATAATGTTTGCCATTCAATGACTCAAAACAATTTATCATATCTCTGAGGTTCACGAACTCAAATAAAACATTGTCAGTACCCAGTATTCTAGAGTGGTGTACATCACAGTTATAAGTCAAATTGAACAATATATCGTAAATGGAAATTTCATAAGGAATGTTGATGAGTTTAAAAGCAAACATGATGGAAATAATATCAAAATGATTTTACCTTATTTTTTCCTTCTTTATATAGAAATTATTTGTATCGTTTTATGATTTTTTATTATTCATATTTACAGAGAGGAAAAAAAAAATTTTATTTTTTAAAAAAGTTTCCATAAGGCGAGTTTTTTTTGCCAAACATGGAGCACTATGAAGAGAATCATCATAAACGTGCGAGTAAGTAAAAATATATTTTATTATTATTAACTCCTTTTTTTTCTTTTTACACATACTATATATATATTATCTAAAAATATAAATTAGAATATATATGATCAAACAAAAAAACAAAAAGTAAGGTTACGAAAAATAAAAAGTAATATAAGTAAGGTTACAAAAATTAGATTAAAAATATTAAAAACAAAAAGTACTAAGTTATCAATTTTGAATATGTAACAAAAACGAAAAGTAATAAGTTATCAATTTTGAATATGTAACAGAGCCAAAAGTAATTTTATTTAAAATCAATCTGATATCAGTCGCAAATTAAAAGAAATTTTATTTAATATCATGTTATTGTAAAATTATCCCTAATTTGATTTAAATCGAATTTTCATGGAATGTACACTTGTGGGAACAAACAAAGAATAAATCATTTTATAAATAATTTTTTTTATGTTATTTTAAAAGAAAAGAGGATAAAATTAAATAACATACATGTTTGATTTTTTTTAGGAGGATAAAATTAAATAACATACATGTTTGATTTTTTTTTAGGGAAAGAAAAGTGAAGAGTAAAATATATTTTTTTTAAAAGAAAATAAACGAATGGTGTTTTCAAGAAAATTGTCTTTTAATTTGAATGGCATAGGGGTAATAGTAAATAATTTATGTGTTAATAAAGAGAAAGATTATTAAAAATGATAATTAATAATTAGTGATTTTCTTATTTTAGGGAAAGAAAAGTGAAAAGTAACATATTTTTGTTAAGAAAATAACACGAGTGGTGTTTTTTGTAAAAATTGTTTTTCTTTTAATTTGAATTATATAGGGGCCATATATAAATAATTATGTATTTAAAAAAAAAAAAATTATTAAAAAAAATAATTAAAAAGTAGTAATTTTATTTTAAAAGAGAAAATTAATTAATTATATTAAAATAAATTTGAGTATTTATTTAAAATAAAAAGAAATATCTATAACTTGTGATGAGTTACAAAATTGAGACGCACGAACAAATAATCTATGTGAGGATAATAAAAAAAAAGAAATTGGGAAAAAAAAACCTAAATCTGATGTATTCAAAAGATGCTTCCGCTGTCAAAGTTTCGGACATCAAATAAAGGACTGCAATATTCCGACTCATGTGCTACAAAATCAGGAACGCGAGGATCATCGTAGTGACACAGATGAAGTTCCGGGAACTTAGAAGTAAAAATATGGAAATAGGCAATGCCCACCTAATAATTATGATGGAATGGTTAAAAGATCGCATGGTATACAAGCTAGGACAGTGGGAGGAATACCAACTACAAGCCAGAATTCGATCAAAGTGGGATCAACCATATCTAAAGTGATCAACAATAATGGTTTGCAAAAGAAATACAATCCTATGGAGACCGAAGAAGAAGAAATGTTAAAGGAAGAAAAAGAAAACCTATAAATGTAAAAAGTTTTAATTTTCCGCGTTTTTTTTCCGCATCTTGGTCTTTTGTAAGGCGGACGTGAGGTATATTTCATATATATTTCGTATATTTCATTATATTTAAGATATTATTTTTAAATGATTGATAAATGTCAATCAGTTGAATAATTTTATATTTAGAAAAATTATAGATATTGATTAAAAAACAGTTATTATTTTTGTTGATTTTAATCGCGGAGTGATATAATTTAAAAGAAAGAAAAAAATTGATTCGCCATTAATTGTTTTATTAAATTATTGTGAAATATATTTTTATTTATACTAAAAGTTGATATTTGGATTGAATTATTGTGAATAAATTGATATACCAGAAATAATGAATAAATATAAATATTCATAGTGAAATTATATAAATCTTAATAGTGAAAATTAAGTTAATTGAGTAATAAAATGAGTAATATTTTAATACCAGATTCCTTGTAAAAATAAAATTCCCGTTCATTTTGATTTATTCTTTTATATCAATTTTAAAATTTCCCAATAAATACTACTACACCCCAAGCTAACCTCTACATGTTTTTACTTTAACATTATATCAAATTCTTTATGAGTATAACTCCTTTGTCCCATTTATCATCATCTTGTATTTTGTACCAAATAAAATCAGCGTTTATAGTTCTATTTTGTGGTATGTTATCTTTATCATCTTCTTCCTCTAAGGGTTTTAATAAGTCCCATCGAATTTTAATATCGCGATTAAACACTCCTGTTGTAGCATGTGTTTCTATAATTGAATAAAAATTTATCAAGCGCAGTATCTAAATCAATCTTTATATTCCTTTTCATGTGCCTTGAACGTTTTCACCATCCGTTCAACCTGGCCATTAAATTGCTAGGGGTATGAGGACGTCAGCAAATGTTTTATGCTATAATCTTTGCAAAATTTCTCAAAATGATAACTTGTAAAGTTTTAGTATCGTAACTATAGCTTCTGGAATAGCATAGTTTTAAATATTTCCTTCAGTGTATTTTCTGCTGTGATGTTTTTGACATGAATTATTATTGGAAATTTACTAACGCATCTACTATAATCAATCATTTTTTGTGAAAAACGGACCCGCATAATCTATATGAATCCTTTCAAATGGTTTGGTTTATATATATATTTTAGTGTCAGAATATGTATTACAATCGTCCCAACTTTTTACTTCCATCTCTATGTCGCTATTCATACCGGACCACCACATATAATGATCTTTTTGGCAAGAATTTGCTTTCCTGGTCCCAAATGAATTTCGTGTAATGTTTGCAGCATGTTTTTTATCATATTTGATGGAATTATGATTTTGCTGTTTTTTAAAGACAATCTTTAATAATACTGAGTTCCAATTTAATATTTTTACATATGTATCTTGTTTTTATAAGTTCGATGTTCTTTATATCATCTATGACTTACGATATTTTTACGTCTTTAAAAGTTTCATCACCTATTTTGTTAAAGTTAATAATTATATCCCATAGATCATCTCTAATCGCAATATTTTTAACAACTTCATCATTATCACTTTGTGGTAATCTTGAGAGCCAGTCAGGAACAACATTTTATTTGCCAGCTTTATACTTTTGTTGAAATTGTAACCTCCTAGAGTTATATTCTACTTTTGTAACCGCAAAGACATTGTGCATGTGTCTTTTAAACCTTTTTAAAAAATATGTACTAGAGGTTTATGATCAGTGATTGTTGTAAATTTAGTCCCAATTAGATGCTCCTGGAACCTCTTGATGGCTAATATTATAGCAAGAGCCTCATATTCAATGTTAGTGAGTACATTTCAGATATGAATAGTTCTTGAGGCAAAATTGATTGGTATTTATTTTCCATCTTTTTCAGTGTGAAATAGCACAGTTCCCAGTCCACATTTAGATGCATCAGCAGCAATTCCAATTGGTAATTTGGGATTAAAATAAGTTAGTGAAGACTAATCAACGTCTTTAAATCATTAAAACTATTAGAGTGTTCTAAATCCCACATCCATTTTTGTTTGTTAACTAATTTGCATGGACGATCAGCAATATCTGACTAGTTGTTTAACAATTTTTGGTAGTAGCCAGCCATTCCCAGAAATGTTGATAATTCGGATGATTTTGGTTCTGGCATTTATTATTGCTTTAATTTTATCACGATAAGCGTGTATACCATTTGCATCAATACAAAAAAAATAATAAAAATATTTTATCATATGTTTAGTATGCACATTCAAATCATTCTATTCTAAATTCAACTCAAAAGTTTTCAGGTAAATTCAATTATATATATAATGTGATTTACAGTTTTCCAACCTATCCTAATAAAGTATGCACAGTTTTTCTTCAATCATTCTATTCAAAATTCAACTCAACAGTATTCAAGTAAATTCAATTCTAATGGGTCACATGTAATTTTAATTATAATGTTGTGTAGATTTGAAGTAAAGTATTATATTCAAGTAAAATTAGAACTATTGGGTCACACATGAAATTTTAATTACAGTGTGGATATTCGAAGTAAATTATATTACATTGAAGTAAATTATAAATATGTATTTTAGATATCAATTAGAAAACATTAATGGTAACTCTTCTGGGGGTTTATGCATTGTATATTTTTTAAATTATTCTTTTGTTTTTATTTTAGATAACAGGCTCTGTCTTAACCTATCTTAATGATTGTACAGATGCTGAATTATCTGTCATTAATTTTTAAAAAAAGATGGCAGTTAAATCAACAAATTAAAAGTTCCAGAGATCGTGAAACCCAACAAAATCTACCAAAAATGTAAAATAAAGGTAGTCATCTATATATATTTACTAAAATGCATAAATATTCTTCTTATACTTTCTAACATTTTAGATTACATCTTTCGCTACTGATGATATTCCAACAATTTCTAGAGAGTAACCTAATATTGATTCCTCTGCATGTTCGATGCATTACTATTCTTTAGATTTTTGTTTTGTTTTTATTTTAGAAAACAGACCTCGTCTTAATGATGATTGTGCAGATTTTGATTTATCTGTCATTAATAAAAGAAAAAGATGGTGGGATAATCAATAAAATAAACATTTCAAAAATCGTGAAACCCAACAAAATTAACCAACAATACAGAATAAAGTTAGTCATATATATATACTAAAAATGCATAAATGTTCATTTATCTTTATTACAATATTTTTTTAAATATGTTTTTCTTATACTTTCTTTCATTTTAGATGATATCTATTTTAGATTACAAACATCTGATGATACTCCCACGATTGAAAGAAAGTTCAACCTAACATTGACTCCTGTGTAGGTTCAGTGTATTATTTTATAAAATTTTTGTTTTATATATATTTTAGTTAACTGACTCCATCTTATTATATTATATAATTGTTCATATACTGATATATAATAAATAAAAAATTAACGTTTAGAAGATCATGATAGGCATGATAATTCCCTAACTAGACAAAAAAAATTTTTTGATGATAGCCTCCCAACTACTAGAGATATGCACCTAATATTGACCCTCGACAGGTTTGGTACAGTATTTTAATGTTCGTTTAATTTCACTAATAATGTTTATTTATATTTTTGCCTGATTTCTTTATTTTTCTAGGCTAGCCCAACCTTAATCCCTCACACTAAAACAAAATATGATGAATCTATTATTAAAGATAAGAGAAGAAAAAAATGGCGACTCAGTAAAAGCCGTAACCGTTCTAGAATTACTGTTAGTCAGGATAATAAGGAGCTGTGCTTGATATTAAATACCCTGCAAATTTTTATATTTTATTGTTTAATGCTTTATATCTATATGTTTATTTTATATTTACCCAGTTGCCTCCAAATGATATTTTTATCTCCACTACCACAATCCCTATATCACTTTCAATCTTTTTTGCATGAATGGATAGGTAATTTATCAAAATCTTCCCCTTCTCCTCCAAATTTAGCACGTTTATTTAACAGGGAGCATTGTTAATCATCCTACCTTTTAAAAAATATAAGAGTATTTAATTCTGCACTATCATTCACTTCAATAGGAGTTAATATAAATAATACTTTATACAATTTTCGCTCCGGTAATTATACCTTTCAAATTAATAGACAGGTTCACTATTGCATTGGTTCCTACTTACATTAAGGGACACACCTAAATTTGATCAAATATATATGATAGTAAAAATGAGATACAAAACAAGCATAATCAGATTCCTTTTAGATCGTCATCCTTTAATTAAATTACAGGATTTATGAAAGTAGCTTCTATGATCGCTAATGGCTTTCCTACTAACATTCTTTAAACCTAAACGCTACTCCAAATTTTAACATACGTTATTGCAATATTAACGATCCATTCTTCATACGACCCTTTGCAATATGTTTTTCTTTTTCCCAGAGGCGATATTGGGTACCACCCTATATAAACTCAAATAATAAATGTTACCTGCAAAGCGTACTATGCCTATCGCCTTATCATCAAGCAGGAAGATGAGAATATGATTTAAGATCCAAACATCTTATCAATTTATCGTGGACAGTTATGCCAAACAGGAAAGGCTTCGATTAAATTTTACACTTAATAATCAGTCACGCGCAAAACTCTATTAAGGCATTTATGATGCAATTTTAAAGGGGGATACCAATGCTGACACTTTTGGCAGACATTTGCCTTCTTCTTTTACCAGTGACCCAAGGC